AAGACATGATTTTTAACACATCTTTATCAATATCTTAATCCCATAGAATGGTTTCCTGGATCTTGTCAATCCAAGTCTTTTGACTTAGAGACTGATTACTTATAGTTCTAACCATGAGTTGGACTTCCATAACACTTTTACTATCACCCAAATAATTTTTGTCTAAATGTGGTATATTGTGAAGAGCATAATCTAGAGCATACAGACCGTAGATCAACTAACTAGAAGGAACACCAATCACAATATCTAGGTTTTTATTAGTCAAAGTTTACGAGCCTTGATTAGGATTTAATCCTTCATGTCTAAGTTTTCTTAGACTATTCTTCTGAACCATAATTTGTTGATCAGTGGTAGGATAACCTCCAACTTGACCATCGAACTTCCCTTTAATGACAACTCCTTGCATGAGTCTCATGCAGTCCATAAGATGTAATGCCATTTTGACTTGCTTCACAGCTTGGCAAATATGAGTAAGTTGACTCTTCCTAAGTTTGATATGAGACATTGTCGTGGTGAGATTTGGATACCAAAACTATGGGATTAACTTGGCTTGCAAAAATAAGACATCACCACCAAACTTTTATTTTATTAAAGGGAAGGGAGAAAAGATCGAACAAAAACCCTAAGTAAAAATGCAAAGCAAAAAGCAAGGCCTAAAGCTAAGCAAAAGAGAGATCAAAGGTACCGGGGTTGGTTATACTAAGGGAATGTACTAGTACCTTAAGTATCTGTAGTACTCTACAAGAACCTCTTGAAATATTTGTGTTTTAGATAAAATTGTTTTCTAAAGGTAAAAGATGGGTAAAGAAAAGGAGAAAAAGTGGAAAAAGAAAAAGGTAGCTCGCTATGATCTCGCAATCCTATGCCTACGTATCCTTAATAGGAAGTCAGAACAATCGTAGTTCGGAAACTACGTGTGAAAAAAGGTGTGAAAAGGAAAAGAGTGTGAAAAAAGAAAAGTGTGATCGCCAATGACCGGGGCCTTGTGCCTACGTATTCTCAAGAGGAAATTGAGAAATCAGAGCGTCCGTAGTTCGTGGAACTACGAGTTGTCAGATTCTAAGAACCAAGAACAACTAAGATAGGTAAAGAACAGACGAGAGACATGTACAATGACGATAAGTCAACATACAATTCCTTCCCTTGGATTAGGTCAAAAAGGAATATAAAGCAGCAGAAACATGGAAAAATATCATGTAATCAGCAAGCAGACAAGTCAAAGACACAATACACGGAAAAATATCATGCATGGTCAGACAAATAAGATATCACAGAGTACACATGGAAAAACATCATGGTAATCAGACAATGGAAAGTCAACAAAAATACACAGAAAAACATCATATAATCAACAGACAAAGATACACTGCAAAACATTGCGAGTAACAAATAACAGGTACGGGGAAGAGCATCACGTAGTGAATAAACAGAGATACGCGGCAAAGTATCGCAAAAAAGATAAACATTCATGACAAAGTATCGTGAAACAAGAAGAATTATTAATTAATTTAAATACTAATATTTAATAAGATTAATTAATAATTTAATTAATCATTATTAAATAAAAATATTTATATCAATCAATAACTACAACATATATTTTACATTTTTAAATATTTATCCAATAATTAAAACTAGAAATAAAAAATATTAAAATAAAATAGTTAAAATATTTTTGGTATTTTCAATATTAACCAAATTAGAAATTAAGTTAAAGTTTAAATGTGTTTCTTGGTATTTTAAGTATTATTCAAATTAAAAAAAGAAGTTAGAATCTAAGTATGTTTTTTTTTAATATAGACAAAATAGCTTAAATGATTAGAACTAAATAAAACAAAATTTGAAATTTTAGAAAAAATGTATTAAGACATAAAAACTAATAAGACATAATGTACAAGAAAATAACATCAGGATAGAACATTGCCTCACGTATCACCATTTTGCACCTCACAGTTTATAGCAACAAGATCAAGAGTACAAATATAAACATTTATCACATATATAAGATAAACATATAAAAAATGATAAAATAAAATGTTGAGTAACTTGGAAAAAAGAGAAGATACAATGTCCAAACCAACCAAGCATAACAAACGAAAATATATACATTCAGTTAAACAAATAATTTAGATTAAATAATAAAATAAATAAGTAACAAAAGGATGTGCATTAGCAATAGGAGTTATAGAGAACAAAAATCGGATGGGCTTGTTGTATGAAAGGGATAAATTTTGTGGTTTATGAAGTTTAACTGAGGCAGGTAAGTGATGTTTGAATATGTTGTTTCTTCAATTAAAAAAAAAAAATTACATAGTTAAGACATTGCATGAAGAAAGAGATGTATGGTTTATAGCATGAAGTATTGCTTTATGTTGTTTTTATATGCATCAGGTGAAGATAATTATGGAAAGGAGGTCTTGTGGTCACGGTTTGAGGGCGAGGAAAGAGCAAGGTGTAGAGTTGTAGGCTTGGTTTGAGGAACAAAGAAGCAAGGTGAGAGTGACGAGAGAACTATGCGCAGGACCGCATGCATGTACCTATAGTCCTTTCCTCAGCATGTACATGGATAGGTTACTAAAATAAAGCTAAAAATTAAAACAACTTATTTAAACTTACAGATATCACTAAAATTCTTTACACCAATGTAACTATTGCAAACCAATTTTACTGTGACACAAATACTAAGGAAAGAAAAAAATTATTAAAAAAAACAAAGGTATGTCAAACTGTATATAAATACGGTGTGGTTGTAATTTTTGGTGTAATCTTAGTCTTTTTAGTTTAATTAGTAGAAGATCCGTGCGTCCGTACGGGTAAATCCATTTATATCTTAGATAATTCGATGACTTTAATGTTGTTGATGTATAACTCTTGGAGTAATGCTAACTTATGTCCTAGTGGCACATGTTAAAAAACCCACAAATAAAAAATATGTATGAAAAAAAAAATAAAATCATTAATTATAAGACTGTATTAAATTTATTACACAATTTTCAAAAATTATTTTTTATATTTATTTTTTAACTTGTGTCACAAAAGCATAAATTAGCATTATTCTATTAGTAATAATAATAATAATAATAATAATATTACTTAAAAAAAATAAGCTCAAAACTGTTGTTCAATAAAAATATGTTATTTGTCAGGTTATATAATTTTTTTAAAAATTACACTTTAACTTCATAGAATTTATGATCGTGATTATTTAAATTACAGTCTCAAGAAAAAATTGGATTTGGGACAAAAATTTTGGGAAAAAAATAAACATCTCTCGGGACTCTCACTTTTTCAAAGCCCCCGTCGCCGTGATCGCAGCGCCGCCGCCGTCATACAAATCCTGTCAACTTGCTCGAAGCACCGCCGGAAGTGACGCACATAACCGTGGATCCGGTGAGCTTGCTATTTTTCCCAATTTATTCATAATCTCTTATTGAGGATTCAAATTACGCTACTGAAAGCTCATGATACTATCCCAGTGCTTGAAACAGTTGTTAACCGTTATTTATATATGAATTTAGAAATATATATGTTTATTTCAGTTATCTACAATTATCGCAATGGTTAGGATCTGCAAGGTTTTAAAATAGGGTCTTTCGCAATTTCTATCGGTATAGGTGTCACGATACTGATCATGGCTGTCAAATTAACCACAATTGTTTGTTATTATAAAAGCGGTGCTTATCGGTATAGGCCTCTTCCAATACCATTTTGTCGCGGCCGTTTTCGTACAACTTGATAACTTTGCATTTTGCATCAGGGGTTGATGCAATGCATAGTTATAGTTATTACATTCATCTTTATGAATATGAACAATTTTATATTCATATGCCCTAGTATGTTTATGTAATGGTTTTTCAGTTTGGTTTTTCTTTTTTAGTAATCAACTTTATGAGGAAGATGTGTACTGCTATATGATATATGGTTTTTAGGCACTAAGTTTTATTAAAAAAAATCAAGTTAACTTGCTTATAAATTTGTTTGTGTAAACTTGGGCAGATTCATATAGTTCACATATCTCAACATAAACAAAGTCACAAATCAAAAAGCATGAACAATCCCATTGTGGCAAGTTTGCTACGAATCCAACAGGCCAACTAGGTGAATTAGTCAGACGTTGATGAGCTGAAACTTAACTCTACTGAGTTAAATCCTAGTCCACAATGAGGAGAACACTTCCCACACACCTTCCTTCACTCTAGCAATTTTGAACTGTGATTTGTTAATCGGCCCATCAGTTTTGAACTCGTTATGTGGTGCTTATTTCTACTTAAATGAAGTCTAAAGTTTGTCAGCTTCATTATGAATTCCGGAACACAAATAAAGGAGGTTGTCCCATCACTGAGTCTTTCTTCACGACATCACCATACCATACCAAAGTTTTTGAACACGGAAATGAGGTTGCTCTGTCTCTAAGCTCCAAACGATGCCTGGATAATTGCTCCAAACGCTATCTTTGTTCTCTACCTTGATGGAGATTGTGTGACTGAAGTTCATTTGTACCAGAGAAGACGGTGCAGTGGTACTAAGAATCATTGGATTGTTTGAGAAAGAATATCCGACATTGGACTACTCAACCTTAATAGCTGATTTTGGGCCAAATAGAAGTTTTGGACACCATGTTAGAATAAAGATTGCTAATCCAGAGAGGGAAAGCTCTTTGGCGTTTGGCCTATGAAAGCTGAAAAAAATGTTCAATTCAATTAACAGTGAGTACGTTTCGTACTTATATAGGGATTAGGCCTTAAGAGGCTCAAGCTAAACTGAACTAACTGTAATCTAAATAACTCAACATAATACGCTGACTTGGCATACTCTGTTATAACAGTAATTGAGAAACATCGCATACAAATACATAATGTAATATGACTATTGTAGACTAAGAATGATACTCATAATTAATCTAGTTATAACTGTAAACTTATAGTACTGTGTGTATTTTTACTATTTCTGACTTTCTGTGTTATTTATTTATCTATTTGTTTTCAGGGTTTCGGATAAAGATGACAGTAGTTCAGAAGTTTTTCATTGCATCACTGTTCATGTGGTCAGTCCCTATTGCAATATTATATGCTTTCAACCATAATCTACTTCCCGGTAAGATTCGTGAGCAATTATGCTTTTTGTGGGGTTTGTGTGTCCTAAAGTGGGTGTTGACTTGTATTCTTATTTGTGTGTTTGATATTTTATCGCTGTTAACTTCATATTTTGAACACCCCTAACTTTAAGTGGAAAAATATATGTTAAGTTGACTTGTAGTGTATCAAAACATTGTTGATTGTTTTTCTGTTTCCTTGTTGAAGAGATGGTATCTGTCTCACATCGGATAACATATAATCTCAACATCTGTTTATAAGTGGGGGCATGTTGGATTTATTAATCCAGCGTCACCCTTAGGGATTCGATGGGCTTAACATCCCAGCCCATGGCGCTTAATAGGCGCAGTCCCTTGAGGACTCTATACTATAAGAAAAAGTGTTATTGCTTCCTTAACACTGACTAACTTAAATTTTTTTTCAAATGATATTGAAATTCTGAGTTTCTCTGTCTTGTTTATTGAGTGCTTTTCCTATCTGTCTAGGCGTAACAGATCTCATCATTCCCGGAATACAGCTGATCATAAAAAAGAATTAAAGTTTTGAAACTACCTTAACGTGTGTTTCCTTTTCTGCAACAGGCATATCCAATTTGTCCCCTTACTCTATGACACTAGTGAGCGGATTTCTCGCCGTCATATCTGTTAACATAGTCATTGCATTTTACATATATTTGGCAATGAGAGAACCTGCAGATAAACATGAGCCTGATCCTAAATTTCTCGCCGAGGCCAAAGCTAGTATCAACCAGTCTACAGGAGATGCTCAACAATCTTCCCAACCTCTCAAGAAACAACAGTAGCTTGGTGTTCTTAGATTTCTTGGTGGTACTCATGAGTTGTTCTGTTCATCTTGGGAAGGAGAGGGGAGAATGGGGATGAAGGGAGAGGTCCTGAATTGTGTGCTGATGATATACTTTTGTTATGGAGTTTGCACACAATCCATCTTGTGCACAACTTGTTTTCATTTTGTTAGTTTTGTATCAATTTATTTATATATCTTCAAGTTACTTTCAGTTCTGAATCTTTTTTTTGTAAGTTTTTCTTGGAAAAATTTATAGCACAACCTACGAGTGTTTACAAGAGTAGCTTTCAAATTTACCTAAAAATAGTACTAGTCGCATCCCAAAACTTTTCATAGTTTTCACCTCTTGAGTATTGGTTGAAGAAACTTTTTATGAACCTAATGCCATATATAGCAAGACAATGGGGGCACAAATGTTCCTCAAGCAGAAGAATCAGCAAGGTTCATTTTTATTCTATTAAAATACAGCACTTTGCGTGCTTCACTTATAGTCTTGTAACAAAATTAATCGTTGTGAATGTTAAATTAAATAGCTGAAGTAATATTATAAAATATAGAATTTTTTTTATTATAACAAAATTTATAATTGAGACCAAAAGATAAAGATGATAAAAAGTGAGAGTAAAATTTTAAGGAAAAAAATACGTTTGAATCATAGATCGCAATTTAATTTTAAAATATAAATTAAGTGTATGTTTTAATAAATTTTTTATATCTTTTTTTTATTTTTTTAAATCTCATAAATAGAAGATGTTTCATAATCAAATTACTCGCACTATATAGTCATTTATGACGATCAACCTTAAAAACATAGACAAAGCTTTTTATTTTTCAAAATAATATTTTAAAAATAATTTGAAGTATTTGTTTGTCTATTTAAGGGTTATAAGTTAAATCTTTAGTTAAATTTAAAAGAATTATTTGATAATTTTTTTAAGAATTAAAATGAGATTTAATATTTAAAAAAAAAATAGTGTAGGAAAAAAAGTACTTTTATAATTGTTGTTAAATAACCGTTATTTCTTTTTTTTTTTTGCAATTTTAGGAGTGATAATGTTATCACTTTTATCAAGAGATTAAAAATTATTTTAATTTTTATTGAAATTAAATTAGTTGTCATAATTTTTAATTGAGTTATTTAAAAATTAACTAATTTAATTTTATTAGGAAATAAATTAGGTCTCATAACTTTTTATCGAGGTATTTAAAATAATTTAGTTTTTTTATATGAAATAAATGTGCGTAATAAAAAATAGAATAAAAATTTAATAATTTGGGTTTTAATGTATAATAAATATATAATTTATACTTGTATGAATCTTATAGTAATATATGTCTCGATGCATTATAGTGTGAATGTACAATTTGCATAGATATATTGCTTTATATATGAATGAAAAAACAAAAGAAATAAATCAATTGATATATATATATGCCTTTTAATGAGAGAAATAGGAGGTGATGACTCATGGAATATAAAAATAAAATGTTTTAGTTAAAAGATATTTATAAATAAAAGGTTACCTATATTTTACAATGACTAATAAATTTTTTGAATTGTTATGTTTTGAAGGGTGTCTCATTAGATTTTTAATAATGTGACAAATAAAGATAGAAATAAACCAGAACCGATAATAAGAATTTACAGGTCTAACCTACACAGATTCAGATCAGACTAAATTTTTTGTTTAAATAAAAAATATCTAATTTTTTTTATAAGTCTATTTATTAAAAAGACTGGGCCTCAGACCATAAAAAAAAAAATTTAAGTCCAACAAACCGGTTTATTTAAATAAATATGAATAATTTTATTATTGTTATTATGTTATATTTTATACTTTAAATTAAAATACATAAATAAAAATCGATTATCTTGAATAATTTATGAAAATAAGATGAAAACATCTTATAAACAATGTTATAAGTTATTTTTATGAGTTACTTAAACAAATAATCTCACAAATCTTATGCTAATAGATAAATTAAAATAAGTCAATATAAATGATCCGCGGTCGCTCGCGGATCAAAAACGAGTTGTTTTAGGAAAATGCAGTACAACGACAGTGACTCGGAATATCGTCTCACAAGGATTCTTGTAGGAATAATCAAATACAGTAACGAAATATGGGGGGTTTTGATTAAGATAAAATAAACGAAAAATAAGTGATTAGAAAAAGTGATTGTAGTAATGAGTTGAAACGGCTAATCTACTGTTTTCGTTTCCCAACTTATCATCGATCCTAATAATTCTCAATTCCTAAGCGGATTCTATCCCCTTTCCGATTATAATAACAATCAACAAGCGCAATTGATATTATACGATACACGTTCCAAATTTCTGAATTAAGCAAACAGATAAAATAGTAACCGTGAATTAAGCAAACACGAGAAACATACGCGGATTAAGCAACCGCGATTAAAGTATAAGAACATGCAATCATCGAAATAAATCAATCATCCCTAAGGTAAATCGAATTAAGCAAACAAAATATCATAGAGAAGAATTGAAAGGAAATAGATTTTATTGGAAATTAAAAGAACCTCAAAGTGTTGGAGGGAACCGATTACAGCAGATTAATCCGAAGGAATTAGTCCTCCATAATTCATACAAAGCTCCAACAAAAAACTTTCGTGAATAGTGAATATGATATTTAAGGCTGTACGGCCAGACCTAAACTAAAAATAAAAACAATGGATTCAGTTCATAACCCAACTGGGTCGAAAATATAACCCAGGCTCAAAACATGACCCAAAACTAAAACAATTTCCTAATGCTGCAACTTCTACGAATATTCTGGGAAAATATGTTCCGAATCTGACTTTGACTCCAACACGAAAGTCGTAGCTCTCTCTCTTAGCTTTCCGGCGATTTTTAGAGCGCCTCAAACGGATTCCCGGAACTCTAGTTATGATCGTTTCCGTGCAGACTGCTAAAGCTGAAAAATAGTTGCGATAATTAAATTAAACCAAAAATAAAATAAAATAAGAAAACATAATAAAATATAATAATAAACAAAATAAAATAAAGAAATGCCTAAGTAAAAATGTAGGAGAATGTGCATAAATATGCACTGATCAAATTCCCCCGGACTTGAACTTTTGCACTCCGAGCAAAATTAAAACAAAACAAGGGAAGCACACACACATCAATAGTTACTCATTCCAGGCTACAAGTCTTCATCGCTTAAGTTTGCATCGATAGGTACTAATCTTACACACTAAGGATATCGTAGGAACACTAATCCACAATTATGCGGTCATAAGGCTCCCTCCTATACAAACCAATCCAAATCATGTCTTTATGCCTAAGTCTAACTTACTCATCCTCTCTTTTGCTCTCTTTCATTCTAGTGCAATCACATTAAGCCTTTTATCTATTCACACACATGGTAACTGAGCTTGTTAGTGACTATGATCCATTTTTTCTCAACAATTTAGAATTAAACTTTTTTTGTCTTTTCTTTTTTTCTTTTTCACTTTTTGTCTTTCTCTTTTTCTTCTTTTTTTTCTCTTCTTATTAAGCACATGATCATTCACTTATTTGCATCAGCTCAACTACTTAGCATGTGATTTCTAGATGGTGCTGACTAATAGATAAACTACTTAAAAACTATTAGAGGACGAGAACTCAAGACTATGCCATAACAAGTATCTAACTCGACTTCCATATTTGGGAGACTCAAGGTGTTAAAACGATATCGATCTTATGAACTGTTCCCAAGTCTCTGCAAACTAATCCCAAATTAGACTATAGCCCAGAACTTTCAAAAAGATGCAAATTTTTTTTTTATATTTTTATTATTATAACTGAAAACAAAACAAAACAAAATATAAAGCAAAGGTTTCCCTCCCTCAGACTTAAAACAAACATTCTCCTCAATGAAAGGACATAAATATAAAATAAGAGTGAGGGAAAGGAAAGAACACACCCGACGAGTCAAGGTGGATAAGTGATCACATATGCATCCTTTCCCAAAGAGAGATTTCCTGCAGTCTCCTCTTCCAAAGTGGGGAGTAACTTTGGATATCATCCATCGCCCTTGAAATTTGTATTAGTGCCTTCACCTTTTATTCCAGGATCAAATAAGAATCTTCGATAAATAAAAGTGTCAAATGGACACGTGAATTTGATATCGTTTTCCACAACATCAGAGATCAATGGCTTAAGGGGTTGCTTCACTGCTTTTCTTCCCACTTCCATCGAGGTCCATCCAATTCCCTTCTTATGTTTCTTCAAAACCTGTAAAGGTTTATTATCTTCATCAAAATCAAGGTTAGAAGAAATTATAACTGAAAGCTTTTTATCCATATCTGAATAAGCATAATTCAGATTGGTATGAATTGGTTTAAACTCCAAGGGGGGAGGTTGTTCAATGGATGGTGAGGTTGGGGCAGCCGTGATATTAAGAGTTTTAGCTTCATAAAAAACTTCATCTGCATGAAAAACATCACCCTGTACGGCAACATTAATCTCAGCACAAACAGAGCAAATGTTAGTGTCGGTACATGAATCACAAGAGTAAGTATCATCAAAATCTGCTAATGATGGAAAATCAAAATACACTTCAGAATAAGTATCATCAACTAAATTAGAAGAAAACTCTTTTGGATTCACTACTGTTTGGGCAGATGGTTGGTTTGAATCTTGAGCTTGCTGCATGGCATTCACTATAGTGGCAAGCTGTTCAATCTGTGTCTGCAAAGCTTGAAGACTTGAATCTGTTTGTTGCTGAAACTGAAGATCATTTATAGCCATTTGCTTGACAAGGTCCTCTAGTGAAGGTTCAGAAGGTGTAGAGCACATAATTTGGAATTCATTCATATGTTTATTCGGATCCTCACCTGCAAGTCCATTAAACCTTGACAACAAGTGTATTAAGCCAGATTCCGATTCGAAAGGAACAACAACATCATCATATTCAATACACAAGCTATTATAATTTACATCAGGGGCAACTAATTATCTTAAGGTTCTATTATCAGCCATTTCAAAATCAA